GCCTCAATATCTTCTGACGGCAAGCTCATTGCTGTGGCCGGAAGGAAGGGACTCACTCATTATTCCGCTTCGTCTGGACGATGGAAACTGTTTCCCGATGAGCGGCAAGAGCGAGAATTCACGGTCCGGGGCGGATTGTTATGGTTCCACCACGTGCTGATAGCTGCTGTCGATGTGGACAAGACTCATCAGGTGAGCGGAATTCTGCCGGCCTGCTCTAAGTCCGAGAGACTGACGCAGCGCTTGTCACAGCTCCGACTTTACTCAAGAGATCTCGACTTGACAGAGATCCTTCACTCGCAAACCCTGCCTACACCCGTTCTTGTCATGACTCTGCTCGATAACTCTCTACTAGTATATACAGCCGATAATACCCTGTACCACTTCCTCATCTTACCGACCCAGACCAGCATCAAATTACATCTGTGCGGTAGTATAAGTTTCAGGGGAATAGTGCAGGTACCAAGCAGAGTGAGAGGCATGAGTTGGCTCATTCCGATGGCGCAGAAAAGTGAGTGCATCTGGAGTTCACTCATGAAACCGTCCAGCTCTCAGGAAGACGATCTTCAGAAGAGCTGATAATATTCCCATGATAGATTTGGGCGATCCCGCAGATGATCTCATTGTAGCCACAATCATTTTCCTTGTGGATGGGAAACTGGTTCTCCTCCGACCTCGTCGAGTGAGTCATCTTGTCCATGTAGACCACATGCGGGTGGCTGACTTATCCCTATAGGCCCGCCCCGACGAGGTCCGATACGATATGCAGATTCTCGCCGATCGCATTGAAGCGTACTGGACGCACTTGCACGGTGTTGGTACCCTCGAGAACTCGTTGTGGGGTTACGATGGCATGAACATGCGTATCTGGCTTGATGCGTTGACTATCGAGGCCACGAGGGTCAATTCTAGCTCTGACTCCTATGAGAGTGTTGAAGAGAGTGTGAAATTGCGACTGGACTTTTACCCTCTGTGTAAGCTGGACTTCGTGGATCGGTGCTCATTGCCGGTCATCAGCTGACGAATGCCCTGCGCAGCTATCTTGATGGACAAAGGCATAATCATCGGTGTCGACCCAGAATCGTCTACCAGACATCTTCCATGGCCTATATACAAGATATCAACCGGAACCCATCTTTTCCTTCCCCAATTCCTCCGCTACCACCTGACCGCGTCTCCACCTTCCCTAGCTAACGCACTCACTCTCGCATGTCACTATCAAGGATTAGTATATTTCGCTCATTCGCTCGAGATCCTACTGCACTCCGTGCTGGAAGACGAGGCCGCGAAACCCTCTATGATACCTTTGCCTTCTTCAGCAAGTATCACAGACAGCCCGAACACTCAGGAGTCGGAATCTGGATTTAACTCAGAAGCAGAACTAGGTTCAGGTGCTCTCAAAACTCCGATAGTACGAATCAGCTCACGCTCAGACTACACATTGTCAGAGTCGACACCTAGCATCACACCTCTCACTGCAGTCATCACCTTCCTCGACCATTTCCCGTCGTCCTTAGACGTGGTTGTAGGATGCGCGAGAAAGACGGAGATCGATAGATGGCAGGTTCTGTTTGATGTGGTCGGGCCACCGAGAGAGCTGTTCGAGCAATGCTTGGAAGAAGGCAAGCTTCGGACCGCTGCGAGCTATCTTTTGGTACTGCATGGTCTGGAAGGCTTAGACGATGTTGAGGTGAGCTTCGCCGGCATCGCCAAAATACAACATCTCCCGCTCGCGTAGCCCAGCTGATCTATGTGTTTGGATTAGGACACAATCCGTCTACTTCGCCAAGCGATCAAAGCCAAGGAATTCCACGTACGTCGGCTACGTCTGCAGTGTCCGGCAGCGATGTTCAGCTGACCTATTCTGCCTCCTCTCAGCTATGCAAAGAACTTCTCCGATTTCTCCACTCGATCGACGAGTCAGGTACAGCCTTGAGAGCCGCTATCGACACGGTGGGAATTATCGATTCTCCGGTTTCATCGCCCCAGCCCCAAGTCGGAGCTGTAGAGAGTCACCGGTCAGCAGATGGAGCCGACCAAACTGATCTTTTGGGTCGTATCAGCTCTACAGACGACGCTGCCCAGACATCGTCTCAGACGCCACGGATCGAGTTCTCGCCTTCGGCCTCTAGTCCGACCGATCAGGGCCAGTTGAGCGAACCCTCCCATCTAGCGCCTAGAACAGGCCAAGGCAAAGGAACTGCGCACGGGACTGGGGATGGGAACGGGAATGGCAAGGAGGACGAGAGGATACATTCCCCGTTCCAGCTTCAAGCTGAAAGAATGTATCAGACACCTCCTTCGCCTAGGACAATTGAGAGGTTTGAGGACCAGCGAGAATACGAGGCTGAGAACCAGCGGACCACGGGGATCGAGAGTGTACTTGACAGTGCTCAATGAGCGACTAATAATTCGGTCTTCACGAACTGCACGAACTGATTTTCCCATGCATGATTGGATGTATTGTATCATATCATAACGGTTATGTCTCACGTGCGTGAGAGACTACTGATAAGTTAACAGCGAGGGAAGTCATGTAACTACATGACGAAGTATGCTATCTGCAGGACTTGGTTTGATGATGGTTGAGTTCTCCTTCTAAATTTTAACTGTACTGCTTTGAAAATGCGCACTACTACTGCCTGATCTCCCATTTGAACTGGGTTATCGTCCATTGAGTCTTTCGGGATCGTGACCTACCAGACCATCTCCGCTGTTTGACGCGTTACATGATCAGCTGAACTTCATGAAAATCGTGCGCCTGATTGGGTAAATGAGACTTCTCGCTCACCTTCATTTGTACCGACCCCTCGATCGACCCTGTTGGCAAACACGCGTTTGTAGACGAATCGCTGATCGTACTCCCTCATGACCTCTGCGGAGAGCAACATCCTGTCCTTCACTAATTGGGCGTACGATTGCGCGAGCTGGGTGAGGAGGAATGTGGTTGAGAAGTGGAGAAGGGGCGTTAAGAGTGGGTGAAGGGGGACGAGCAGATGGGTGAGGAGGGGTGAGGTGGGTGGGAAGGCGCTGCACAGAAATATTTGTCAGCCGGTCGATATCACATGACGCACAGGTTCGCGAAAATATGTGGGATAGTCGGCGCCCGCATGATCGATCCGATCTCGGTGCGACTCTGTACTCACCAAAAGAAGGCGAGACAGAATTCAGGCGGATCCCAAACCCTCAATGACTGGATCTTATCCTCGGGCTGCCCGAAGGCGCCGCTTAGCTTCGGTGCGTTCTTCTGAGGTTTACCGAAAGCTGACAACAACGCGTGACTGCAAGGTGGGTACGTTATGGATATCAGCTGCGTTTTGCAAAAGCAGACCACACGTTTTACGGTCGATTTGACCTACAATGCGAACTGGACGAGGAAGAGCAACCCCTTTCCGGTCATAGTCAGATATTTCGCCGCTCCGACCTGGTGAGAATGGCCTTGCACAGATCGAACAGGCTTATCAAAGATATCGTCATCCTCATCCTTGAATAAGTTCTTGACTTTGGGAGCGGGGATAGGTGATGCATGCGGTGAGGCGATGGGTTCCTGGCCCTAATAAGGAGCCAGTCAGCTACGTTGATTAATGGAAGATAGGTCAGGCACCGGCTGACTCACCGAGCGAAGTTGCATATCGTAGGTCCTGAAGCGAGTGAAGAGGTACGCGGCGTTCCCTATGGCGATGATCAAAAGCAGAACGAGAATGGTAAATTTCTGCGTCGCCAACGTTGTCAGCGACACCGCCATATATAGCTGTGGGAGGATCCTGGCGCACCGTCCATCCGCCTACGAGGCTCGTACTGGCAACTTTACCCAGGTTCTCCCAGTCATCCCACCTCCTGCTGACTCCGCTTGGTTCCCTCCCTGATCTGAGCACGCTTCCCGGCTCATCTTTGACCGAGAATAAAGGCGCGACCAACAAGTAGTGGACAGCGTTGATACCGAGACTGATGGGGTTGGCGAGATGCTCGTCGGGGAAGACGTCGACTATGGAAGTCGGGGTATTGAAGATCAACTTGTCGTACATAGTAGAAGGTAAAGAGGCGGTTCTGTCGGCAAAAGCAGATGATCAGCTTTCGACATGTGGGGACGGCTCATTTCCGGCTAGCTAACCTTTGCCAGATAGGCTTCTTCCTCACGAATCGCTTCTTCTTCGCTCCTGTATCCACCACGGGCGTGCTCAGTCTTCTCTCTTCCTCGTACCTCCGAGCAGCCTTGGCACTTGCAGCCATGTCAAAGGGTATACTGGAACTCCTGCTCAATCCCTGAGGCGGAGTCGACGTCGCATAAGGGGAATAGAGAATTTTAGGGGTAGTGGAAGTCGAAGAGCCGACATTTCGATGGCGTGTAGGTGTATCCCGACTGGGTGTAGGGGTAGGGGTGCTGACGTTCAAGTAATTGGATGCTGAGGAAGTTGGGGTAGACTGCGTAGGCGAAGGAGAAGGCGAACTGACTTCCTGAGAGAGCTGGTGGGAGGAAGTGCTCTTCGAGAGCCTTGATGGAGGATGAGCAAAGGCCGGTAAGCTTTTCCGCGTCTGGCGAGCCAGAGGTGATTGAGACATCGTGTAGGGCCTCAATTCGAACACTCCAAAGCAGACGAGCAGATGATCGATTGAGTGTAAGTGGATCTCTATGAGAGGGAAGGAAAAAAGAGGACAAAGACCGAAAGTGCAAAGGAGCGGAAGGTGGTGACCAGATGCAACGCGCTCGCTCGTGTTTGATTTTGGATGTATCAAGTGGAGGCGTGGAACGCCTGGTCTCGTGGCAAAGAAGTGATTCCTGTACATCCTGTCAACTCTAGCCTTCTGGATGCATCAAAGCGAACTTGAGTCGCATGCACGGACGCCCGTCCTCTCATGACCTCTCATAGCCTAGCGCATCCAGGAGATATGTACATTGATCTGCAGGAAAGAGAGTTGGAGATTGTATGAGATGGGTGAACTGCCCCTGCATCTGAAAAAACAATATATATATTATATGCTTTCAAGCATTTTTCATCGAAGGAGCCTTCGTATATCGGTTAGTACGTGAGATTCTGATTACTAACAAGTGATCGTTCTCGAAAGGAGGGTTCGATTCCCTCAGGCTCTTTCCTTTTTGCGTCTTTATAACTGTGGTGAGGTAAACATGCTCCTTGTTGTGCACGCCTCCACTCATACGAGATTGCCGCAGATGCTGTCATAGGTGATGGATGGATGGATGGATGGACTGGTATTCCATGCTGAGTTGGATATATGAAGGGGTTTGTTGCTCTTCTTGCCATTTCTAACTCATCCTTTTGCGACCTCCACGCCTTATTGTGCTAACAATCATGGTCAGTCTGCGGAATCTGTACCGGCGGATAAGAGAATGAAAGCTGATACTTTTCTTCAGTCAAATTTCCTGTCCGTCCCCGCCAAGCGGGCGAATCCATTGCCTTCCTTCTCGCAACATCTGCTAACTTACATATCAACGCATTTCCGAGATGCCCACCCCGAAGCGTTCAAAAAGGATGTGGAAGCTCTTGTGGCTATGCGGAAGGAATGGGTCGAAGCAAAAGCCGAGGGGCACCCCGAAATCGTCCGTGGTCTCATGAGGTATGTCATGCTTCCCTCGCCGCTCTTGGCAACGTCTGTAGGATGCTCATCAAGCTGGTTATGCAAAGGTATCATGCTCAGCTCGCCTTCCTTGCTACAAAATTCCCCTCAGACATCTCACTGCAGTTCACGTATCATCTTCCTTTCCCTCCGACATACTCACTGAGTCCAGATGCTCCTCTCTCTCTCTCGTCGCTCACGTATGAGCGAGCGAGCGTGCTGTTCAATATCGCCGCATTGTATGCTTCCATGGCCGCTGCTGAAAGAAGAGCCGAGGCTGAGGGGATCAAAAGGGCACTGGGCTACCTTACTGTGAGCTTGCTGCTTTGTTTCTCTGAAATATCAAGCTCACCTTCCTTTCGCTTGTCAGGCTTCTGCCGGCATACTGGAGTACATCATCAACTCGATTCTGCCCACACTACAATCCGAGCTCTCAACACCGCATGCAGCAGGATACGACATGACGGAATCGTTCTTAGGTGCAATCAAGGAGTTCGTGCTTGGGGAAGCGCAAGAATGCTACTGGCAACAAGCTGTCTTGCGTAAGCTGTTCCGCACCAGCCTCCGTAACCGATTGACCTGACTTGTCACTACAGAGGGCTCCTACAAGAACGGCTTGATAGGCAAATTATCGATGAAGGTATCCGAATACTACAAGAACTCGCTGTCCTCGATGAATGGATCGGATTATCCGTCTGCTTCGTTCTTCCCAGCTGTGAGTGTCTCATATATCAAATTACCAGTGCCGAATCTCTTTGTCCACTGATAGCGTAACCTTTCGCAGAACTGGGTTGCCCACATCACTGTCAAGCAGATGCACTTCGAGGCTGCTGCGCAATATAGACTGAGTCAGGAGGACCTCGAGAAGAGTCGGTATGGGGAAGAGATAGCAAGGCTGAGAGTAGCTGAGGGTCTTGCCAAGAAAGGTTTGGAGGTGGGGAAGAAGGGTGTCGCAGACTCTGTCCTGTCTGATTTGAAGGTCTGTTCATACCCCTTGCACTGATCGACCTACGCCCTTGCAGGTGTGCTGACATAGCCTGTTTCGAACGCAGAATCTTCACGGGGCTGTCAAGGCCGCTCTTGACCGAGCAGTGAGGGACAATGACCTCGTCTATGTGTCGCCTATCCCGCCTGCGAATCAGCTAGCTCCCATCACTGGAGTAGGCATGGTGAAGGTCAGCATCCCCACTGAAGTCTCTGAACCAGTCGCATGGTTGATGGGAGGTGGAGCCGGAGTCGGACCACTGTTCAGTGCATTGGTCCCTTACGGTGTGCACTTAGCCCTGAGTGAGTCGATTTGAGAACTGGTTCTCGTTGGATCGTAGGTTCATTCTGACTGATGTACAATCGCAGGTATCTATGATGATCGGAAAGACACCCTTGTACGGGAACTTGACGGGAAGAGGGAGGAACTTGATGGGGTGGCAGCCAGGTGAGTTTGCCGGCACATCACATCATATCGCTAATGAGCTTATCTCTGTTGATTTCAGCACCCTTCAATCACTGAACCTTCCGGGATCCATACAAGCACTTGAACGGCCAGTCGGGCTACCACCTTCGTTGCTCAAGAAGGCTGAGGAAGTGGATTCGGCTGGAGGAGCAGAGAGAATCAGAAGTCTCCTCAAAGAAGTCAACAGGTTATCGCGAGCAAATGTCCAATCGCTTGACGAGGTGAGTGTGTGCGAGGTTCTGAGGTGAAAAGTAGGCTTATGACGTCGATATACCAGGCAATGGATATCCTCGACCTGGAAGCAACCGAAAACGAATCGCTGCAAGCTCGACAGCCGCATCTGCAGTCCACTCGACAGCCGTCCCATATCGCTAATCAACCCCTCATTGCCACAGCTCAGCAGTATGACGCTACCATTAAGCAAGCTGCAGGGAGCGATGGCACGGTCAAGCAGAAATGGGAAGATTGGGCGGAGCTCATCGAGATCCTGGCAGGCGGAGAGGTGAGTCAGCTCAAGAATGGCGAGATTCGTTCTTCACTAACCGATGTATAGGACACCATCAACGACTACGTTCCCTCGACGTCCACATCGGCAAATGGCTATTCGAGTCTTCCCGCATCTGTCCGTCCATTGCGAGCTTCACTTGAAGATTTGGACGATCGAATTGCTCATCGAGCGAGGCTTGTCAATCAGGCGCGAAATATCGCTGCTGCCGATGACATCCGACCTCAGGTACTGCAAGAAGCGACGCGCCTGGCTCATGGAGGCACGGGTGACGTGAAGACCGAGTGGTTTGAGGACATCTTCCACCGATCTTTGGAGAAGTACGATCGAATCAAGGACGAGATGGATAGGGAAGGCGGTCGACAGGATCAGCTTCTCGAACAGATCAGAGTGAGTTTTGAAGCATCTCAATTCCAGTCAAATCAAGGCTAATATTGCTTGGCAGTCCCAGAACGAGGCGTTCTTGTCTGAAAGAAAGGATGATCCCGTTGTGAAAGAACGGGAAAGACGTTTGCAAGATATGGATCTCGCCTATTGGAAATGGCGGGAGATTGTCGACAACGCCGAGGAAGGAATCAAATTCTATAATAGCTTTGCGGATATGCTAGGACAATTCAAGGGAACTTGTACACAGTTCCTGAATTCTAGAAGAGTGGACGTGGGGTAAGTGGTCAAGCGTTCTACAAGGTGAGGAGTGAAGAATCCGAGGCTAACTGTTGAAACTGGACACTACAGGCAAATAACTCAACAATTCCAAAACGTCACCTTCTCGGAACCGCCATCTCCCCCCGCAGAGACCTACACGCCTCCGCCGTCACAGCCTCCCTCGCACATGTCGCCGCCGCTCCGTGCACCATCACCTCCTAGAACGTTATCTCTCGCTCATCCTTCGTCAAACCAATGGCAATCTTCATCCGATTTCCTGCCTCCGCCACCACCACCCCCTATCCTCCGCTCAGGCGGTGTACAGACGCAACCTCGAGCTGCGCCAACTCCCCCAGCTGACTCGACGCCAAGGCGGGTGACCCGAGCTTCAGCTGCCGCTACGAGAGGTCCTATAGGAGATACTGAGAAGAATCCGTATCGAAAGGGCACAAGAAGAGAAGGAGGTGGTGTGATATGAGAAGTAAGGTCTTAGATGCGATACCAAGGCTGAGGTTGTACGCTCCGAATGTATGCATGCGCTTGCTCGTACCGATAATAAGAAGTTACCTCATCAGCTTGTTGTGTCACAAACTTCCCTGGACTAATCCTCTGAGACTGACAGATGAGAGCACTGTATAGACATGAAGAGCCAAATTCTTCAACTAACGTAGGTCCTCATTGTGGCAGACATGCAATATACCGCTTTGCAGCATCATTACCATCCATCAATCATCCAAAAACTAGTCTGGTAATATTTTTTCTAGCCCACTGTCCTCTCTTGACTCACTCGAAACCCCAAGCCCCAGAATTAGAGGAATAATGAGCGCGAGAAGAGATTGCAATCGACCGCAAAATTTGATGGAACGGTCTCCTCCAGCATGTATGTACTGTAGGCTGAACGTCTTTCGCAGACCAGATATATAGCGGTAAGTTTTTGTTCGCCTACTCAAGGTCATCCTGTAAGGTCGATCGATAAACAAAGTATCAGCCTACGTTTCATCTCGAATCTGTGACTATTTGCTATTATCTCAGGCGGGGATCGCTTGTCGTGGTCGTGCAGCACTTACAGAGTCGACATGCGGCTGATCACCGCTGCAAGGGTGCGAGACGCACCGCGCCTTGTCCTCACACCATACTCTGACGGCTGAGTCAGCGGCTGCCGCTCCATGTCCAGAAAGGAAAGGTGCATCATACAGCAGCTCGAGGGTCTGAGGCCCCGTTGTTCCTTTTAAAGCTGATACGTGGCACTGTAGTGGTGCAATGGGTGGTGATAAGTATGACATTTTGATCAGGATAAATCGATCATTCAGCCCTTGCAAAGCATCGTTCATACGAGACAGAGGAAGCCTGAACTCACGGTTAGCTGCCATCGAGGCGTCGCTCTGCGGGTGTAAAAACTGTCGTCCTTGGGCGTATACAAAGTCCACTTGAAGCTTTTCACCATGTTACTCTCGATATCGTTCTCGGCGAAAAAGAGCTCTACACTCGTCCGTTGACTACCGGTGTCAGGACTCCCTTCTTCAGTGGAGTTTGAAGTGGGCGAAGAAGGTGCTCCGAAAAACTGGTCAGTCGGATCTGTCGAGTTCATGAAGAGCGTATATTCAGGTATGATGAGCTTCACTTGAGCTGTGGCTGGAGGAAGAGGGGATCGCGCGTCTGGTGTAGACAGAGTGTTGGGAAGTGGTGCAGCAACAGGTGCAGGCATCGCCACCATCATAGACATGCTGAGCGTGGCTGTGATAGCGCCGAGGATGAAGGTGTTGGCGAAGTTAAACATTGTGATTGATACGTTGGTTTCTTTCCAACTTTTTTTCCCCTTAGCTTCTTGTGTTGACCAATCGTGATATACTCGGTATGGCGATTCTGTGTACGAGTACTCGGTTCGGGAAAGAAAACCCATCTCAACAGTTTGACA